TGGTCAATCACTTGCCTGGACCCAGTGCTCAGCATGTGCTGTGATGAATCACAGCACAGCCAGGCTGGAGTGTGTGTGTGCGCCCCCCTACCCGTAAATGCAGAATCATGTGTATATATACGTCATTTGGCACAGAATGGCTGCCCTGTAGCAGTAAAGCTACATAGGATGGTCGGCAAGTGGGTAAAGTAGAAGTACAGCCAAAACTCATTTGACTGTACTTCTCCTGTGGATCGCAGGAGTGCAGTTTGTTCTGCACTCCTGTGACCTGTTTTCAGCTGAAAGCGGGCTAAAATCCACTGTTGGTTGACGTCACTCAGCCAATCCATGCTGGGGAAAGATCCCAAGTTTAACCTTTTCCCTTCCAGGCCCTGCGCTCCACTTTTAAACTCAGGTTGTCAGACCATTTTTGCAATTTTTCTATTGCTGTTTTATTTTTCACGCACAGCTTTCAGAGTTTGTAAAAGACCTCCAAAACCATATTTTTTTAAAGCACATGACCAGTAGAAAAAGGTGCTACTGATTTTTAGGGCCAATAATATTTGTGCAAATGTTTATCAAATCAATATTTTTGTTAAAAATACACTAAAATCATTGTTAGCAGATACAAACACAGCACCGTTTACAAAATTCCTTCTAAATTTCTACTAAATATAAAAGTTTAACCTGTATTCAGTTAATAAATAGCAAATATTTGTACATTTTATATTGCAACTTTTTTGCAAAATGGTGAAAATCAAACGTACACAAAACTGTAAATAACCAAATTTCTCTAAAAATCTGGAGATTTTCATTTTTCACTTACAGCTTTCAGAGTTTGTAAAAGACCCTCAAACCATATATTTTATGAAAGCACATGATCAGTAAAATAAAAAGAAGGTGCTTGGTAGCCACTAATCAGAGCTATTGTTCTGTTCCGTTCCACTGAACAGTTCTGCTATAGGTTCATGGTCACTGAAGTGACCATCAGCTTGCAGCAGGAGGAGAAATGTCAGGTTCGTACAGTGTATGGACATGGCCAGCTGGAAGCAGTGCTGTAGGTCCGTCCGTATGCAGCAAAAGTGTTAAAGTTGGGATCCAGCCAGATGTCTGGACTGGCACATGGCTCAGTCTTTTAGTGATTCACTGAGAGTCTGACCCAGCAGCTCCCACCCCCTCCACAGCAAAGATATCCAATTAGCGAGGGGAGGGCAGGGGGCAGAGCAGGAGCACTGAGAACAGAGCGATCAGTGGCCATTGATCACTCAGTTCTCAGTCTTAGTGCCGGTGAAGGACAGCTGCAGCACCGAGGTAAGTATGATTTCTGAAAAAAAAAAATTAAAAAAAAACTAAACTTCTATTTTAATGAACCCATTTTTTTAGTGCTGACACATTTTTTTGTGCAGGGGACTACAAGTAACACTGCACCATTCACATCAGTTCCTGACCCTTTAAGAAGCTCACATTGTTCTTACCACATATAAAACCTGCTCTTATTAAAAGTCAGATTAGGTGGAAACCAGACAAAAAAGGAAATACATACTCCATGCAATAGGATCCTTGGTAGAAATAAGCTCACAATTCTAGATCTGCAAGCAATAGCCCTGTAATTTAATTTAATTAATTTGTAATATTTATAGTTCTTTTCTTCCTGGAGACTCAATAGGCTTAGGAGCTGAGTCAGCCATCTTGGGCACACTGAGTTGAGCCAATTAACCTACCGTCTTTGCTGCTATACTGCTAATTTACAAAATAATAATTCATGAGAGGAACAGTCTTTGAAAGAAACCAAAGCTCAGCATCCTTATAGGTGCTCTTAGTATTCTAAACTTCCCCTAGAGTCTCCCTAATTGTGTTAGGGCTAGTTTTGCTTCTGATCACCTGAGCAAGAAATATATTTAAGCAGTAGAGTAGTTGTGATTAAAACATGCCTGCAAGTTACAGTCTTTTCCTTTACATCTTTCTTTATCAGCACTTCCTGAAAAAAACACTCATACAGGCGCTACTGCTCTAAATATATTTAGAACAGCATACCAAGCCAACGTGACTTTAAGTAACCAATAGTAACAAAAAAACATTACTTTGGAGATTTATTGCTGGCAATTTTAGGTCCATAGTTATCATGGCTGTGGGTAACTAACAGCAACAAAAATTATTATTTCTAGGACTTCGGGATTTTGTGCTGGTAAAATTAGGTTGACCATATTTATAGCTATAGGATTACCAGAAGTAAATCATGAAAGGCTAAGTTCACCTTTGGAACATAATATGAGAAATAGAGAAAAAAAAGCGCCACAAACTAAATAGAACAAAAGCTGCACTCCTAACCAAAAAAAAGGTAAAAATTTGAATAAATCAAAGAGTGTGCTAAATATGAGTAAATACAAAAATTATTAGTTTAAAATGATGTCCGTGATAGAAAAAATTTTATATAAAAGTCCATCCACCATAACAAAGTAATTAAACAGTTCTGAAATCTTGTATAAATCAAACACCGTGCAAAAAAAAATCCACCACCGAATGAAATGGGTACACTCACCAGAGCTCCATGCTGACCAAATTATAAGTCAGCAAAGATAGCGTTTGCTCTGGGAGCGATGATCAGCAGAAGTAATCCAAACTGGGAGCAATATACTACAAGCAGCCAGTCAGCACAATATGGAATAGCCTTAACAGCAGGTAGTCATCACGTCTCCATACCATAGATCATGTTTTGGGGAATCAAAAAAGGAAATCATGGTGCAGTACGTTTAAAACCAAAATGTTTTATTAAAATGTCAGAAATGCACTCACAAAGAGGGTGTCTAGCCGACACCAGCAATGACAGCCTCAAGCCGTGAGGACGTAGGATGACGAAACTAGTAGGGCGGGGCTTCTTTTGGATGTGACGTCTGGACGCTCCTTGTAGACTGTCTGCTGTGATATCGCGGTGAGCGAGGCTCGTCCTTGCTTTCTTGAGGCTGTCATTGCTGGTGTCAGCTAGACACCCTGTTTGTGAGTGCATTTCTGACGTTTTAATAAAACATTTTGGTTTTAAACGTACTGCACCATGATTTCCTTTTTTGATTCCCCGAACATGATCTATAGTATGGAGATGTGATGACTACCTGCTGTTAAGGCTATTCCATATTGTGCTGATTGGCTGCTTGCAGTATATTGCTCCCAGTTTGGATTACTTCTGCTGATCATCGCTCCAAGAGCAAACGCTATCTTTGCTGACTCATAATCTGGTCAGCATGGAGTTCTGGTGAGTGTACCCATTTCCTTCGGTGGTGGATTTTTTTTTTTTGCACGGTGTTTGATTTATACAAGATTTCAGAACTGTTTAATTACTTTGTTATGGTGTATGGACTTTAAAATAATGATGTCCGTGATAGAAAAAATTTTATATAAAACTAATAATTTTTGTATTTACTTATATTTAGCGCACTCTCTGATTTATTCAAACATTTGGAACATGTTACATGTTCCACCTGTACTTAGAGTTGAACATGTAACATGTTCCAGCTCTTGCCATCTCTCCCCACGATCTGCCCTCCCATGACAGCAGATGGGGGGATCTTCTCCCTGCACCCGCTGTCACAATTTAAAAACAATGCGGCCATGAGGGGCTCTGCCCACATGGCTGCATTGTTCATTTACAGAGTTTTGTGAAAAAATGAATTACAAGTATCATCAGCCACTACGGCCAATGTCTTGTAGTGTCTTAATTAACTGCGAGGGTGCTGGTGAGCGCTCTCATAGTTCATTGATTCTTCCTGCCATTCAGTAACTGCTTGCCTGTATGAGGTATGGGCAGACAGTGTACTGAGAGTTTGTAGGAGTATGAAATTGCACTCGTAATCTGCTGATCACAAGTTACATAGTTACATAGTTAATCTGATTGAACTGGATGGACTTGTCTGTTTTTTTCAATCAACAGAGAAAAAAAAAGACACACATGCATACACTCACACACATAGAAAACCTCCATATACATTATCCTATACCCACAGTTGATGCAGGGAAAGGCAACCCCCCCCCCCCCCCCCCCAATAATGAATGATCCAATTTGCTCCAGCAGGGAAAAAAAATCCTTCCTTCCTCTTCCTGGTCCCCCCAAAAATCAATCAGATAGTGCCTGGATCAACTTTACCTAAATAATATTAGGATCCAGTTATATTGTGTGCTTTTAGGAAAGAATCCAAGCCTTTTTTAAAACAATCTACTGATCTGGCTAGAACCAGCTCTTGAGGGAGTCTATTCTTCATTTTTACAGTTCTTGCAGATTACATTTTTCCTCCAGACATAGAGTGCCCCCTTGTCCTCTATGATGACCTTAAGGTGAGTAACTCCACACCGAGTTCACTATATGAACCACTGATGTATTTATACGTTGAACATATCGCCCCCTTGATCTCCTCTTCTCAAGAAAGAATAAATTCAGTTCCTCTAATTTTTCCTCATAGCTGATCTCCTCAATTCCTCTTATCAGTTTGATTGTTTTACAGCATAATGCTTTACAGGATTCATTGTAAAAATAATAAATGCACATTTGTTACCTTCAAAAGATGTGAATTTACTTTTTTCTTTTATAAAAGGTGAACTTATCCTTTAAAACTTGTTGAGGTAAACACTGTCCTCCACTCTCAAGCACGTACTCCCGCTGTCGCCTGAGAATCAGGTGCCAGGCTAGTAGGGAACAGCCTCATTGTGGGTACACTGAAGAATAAACGAGCATTCACACAATGTTTTTTCCTCTATACCTTATTCTATCTTAACTTCTTGCCAACCGCAGATAGCCGAATGGCTACACTGCGGCCGGCTAGTTCTGGGAGGGCGTCATATGAAGTCCTCCCACAACGCGCTCTCCTGCATGCCCCTGGTGATCTCTGTGATCGCTGTGTCCTACGGCCACAGCTGATCACGTGATGTGGTAAAAGGCCAATCACAGCGGCCTTTTACCACGTAATCAGCCATGTCCAATGACACGCTGATCACCGGGAAATGCAATTGCCGGTTCTCGGCTGCACTTTCCTCACGCTGTCAGAGCCGAGAACCGGCAGTTGTCAGAGCAGGGATCGGCACCGATCATCAAGGCACTGATGATCAGTGCCCTGATGATCGGTGCCCAGCAGTGCTGTCCACCAGTTCCGCCCACCTGTGCCCAGCAGTGCTGTCCACCAGTGCCCAGCGGTGACACCGACCAGTGCCCAGCAGTGCCACCCAGCAGTGCACTCACCTGTGCCCAGCAGTGCCACCTACCTGTGCCCAGTTGTGCCACCTACCTGTGCCCAGCAGTGCCACCTACCTGTGCCCAGCAGTGCCACCCACCTGTGCCCACCAGTGCCACCCACCTGCACCCATCAGTGCCACCCACCAGTGCCCATCAATGCAGTGATGCCATTCAGTGCCACCAGTCAGTGCCCAGTGGTTGTGCCAGTCAGTACCCAGCAGTTGCGCCAGTCAATGCCTAGTAGTGCCGCCAGTCAGTGCCCAGCAGTGATGCCAGTCAGTGCAACCTATCAGTGCTGTCTATCAGTACCCATCATCAGTGCCGCCTATCAGTGCCACCTATCAGTGCCACCTATCAGTGACACCTCATTAGTGCTGCCTATCAGTGCCGCCTATCCGTGCCACCTCATTAGTGCTGCCTATCAGTTCCGCCTATCAGTGCCCTTCAGTGCTACCTATCAGTGCCCATCAGTGCTGCCTATCAGTGCCCATCAGTGCTGCCTCATCAACGCACATCAGTGAAGGAGAAAAATTACCTGTTTGAAAAATTTTATAATAGCAACAAAGAAAAAAAATTTGTTTTGCAATTTTTTTTGTTTATAGCGCAAAAAGTAAAGTGTCCAGCTGCAATTAAATACCACTAAAAGAAAGCTCTATTTGTGAGAAAAAAATGATAAAAATTTCCTATGGGTACAATCTTGCATGACCGCGCAATTGTCAATCAAAGTGCGACAGCGCTGAAAGCTGAAAATTGGCCTGGTAAATAAGGGGGTATAAGTGTCCGATAGGTAAGTGGTTAATGCGTGAGGCACATCTTTGAATGTCCTGTTTTAAAGTCCTTTATAATTTTATCTTTTTTTTCACAGTTTTTTATGTCCTTTTAATAGAATAATAGAATTAATTAATACATTGTTGATTTCTTTTATATACTTGCTGCATATATACAGGGTATGCAGTTTGGACACATGTATCTGCATATTTCTTGAATATATTTTACTTGTTTATTTCTTATCAGTATGTCTGATGTATATGTTAAAACTGTACATACTCCTTTAAGAGATATAGGTCTTTCTAATGCCTCATTCACATGGGGCATACTACAGCATACACCCATGCAAGGGCCATATTTACTGTATCTGTACAGAAATGCACAGGTGTTCCTTGCATCCCCGTGCTGGTAGTCCTATTGATGTCATTGGCACACAGCAACTGCACATACAAACCTGCTGCTTCGAACATGACATCCATAAGTGTGCCTGAGCCTGAATGCAGACAGTGTCCGTTCAGGGCGATGCCCTCGCACAGATGCTAAATTAGGAGTAGAGGTTGTGTCCATGCAGCTACTGCATCCAAAGTTGTAAAAGCATATCAGCTTTATTGACAAATCACAAAAATGCAAAAAAGACTGTAGGCTACTGATGACGAAAACTAATTTGTGGTGAATCGTGATTGTTTCAGACAAATGCTTATGGAAAATGAATGGCCCACAGCAAGATTTTCCTAACAGCTTTGCTGAAACTGGTATACTTCAGATTAACTTGGCTTGCATTATTCATAGTATCCCTCTGAAACATTTCCAGAAGCCAATTAGTAGGAGGTAAAATGCATGGACATAAGCTGCCAATTCATGTGTTATGAGCTGGGGTAAATGGTGGGAGTCATTAATTGCTGCTCATAGTTAGGTATCTTGAGCCATATAGCATAGAGTTTAAAGTGTAAGAGGATGGGATAAAAACTGTCCCTGCAATTCTCAAAGTCTCTCAGTCTCATTTATATAGATTGTCTGTGCATAGCTAACACAGGAGCTTTCAAGATTGTATATGAATTGCTTGTAACTTGCCAGTGAAGTCGAAACTCTTTAGTTTACATCTAAGGGAAATACAGTATCATTGTCTGATACAGATGATAGTAACCAGATTATATGGGCAAAAGGGAGGAAGATAATGGAGGTGAATAAGGCTGACCATAGATGGAATTAAATTCGTCTGGTTCATCAGGGACCAGCTGATTTCCGATCCATCTATGGCCATACTTATTTAAGAGTAGTCAATATAAGGACTGGCTGCTCTAAAACAGGCTTGCTGGAAAAGTTTGCTTCAATTACCATTGCAGCCAACTCGCTGCAGCACTGATCAGTGTATTACAACAGTGAGAGAGTCCCTGCTGTCAGAATGCAATAGCACAGCAGGAAGGATTCCCTTGTTCAGCTCGAATGTGTGGATGGGAGAATTGGTTCCATTTTTTTTTGCCAGTTCAGGTCATGGGTCCAGTCTATAGACTCAATATTCCATTGAGCCCTGGCTACGCATGGACCATTTAAAGAAAATGCATGACCACAATGTCCAACAACTGTAAAGAACTGACACCTTTCTAGAGAAATTAACAATGTGAGTTATACCATGACAGGGCAGCAAAACAGGGCTGCAATGCACATATAAACACTTTTATATGTCAGTTCACCATCTTGGTTTATGCCAAGGAAGAGCAGAAATCAAGAGCCCCATGAGAGTTTAAGTGTTTTCAGAAAGCAATAACATTTTTATTGAAATTAGATTATTATTATTATTTTTATTATTGTTATACAGGATTTATATAGGACCAATAGTCTACACATCTCTTTACAACATAAGGGCAGACAGTACAATTACAATACAAATTAATAAAGGAGGGATCAGGGGCCCCTGCTCGCTAGAGCTTACAATCTAATAGGGTCAATTGATACAAAAGATAATAACTGTGGGGGATGGGCTGATGGAAAAAAATACACGTACAGTTTCTACGTGGAGGCAGGATAGGCCTTTCTGAACAGATGAGTTTTTAGGGGTCGACTAAAAGTGGACAGAGTAGGAGATAGTCGGACACATTGGGGAATGAAGTTCCAAAGGATGTGCGTGGCTCTGGAAAAGTCCTGGTGGTGAGCATGGGAGGAGGTAACAAGGGAGCTAGAGAACAGGAGGTCTTGGGAGGAACAAAGAGAATGATTTGGTTGGTATTTTGCAACAAGGTTAATGATGTAGCTGGGGGCTGAGTTGTGGATGGCTTTATAAGTTGTTGTAAGTATCTTGAATTTTATTCATTGCTTATGTAAAGGTAAGCCAGGAAAGAGGGAGTTGCAGTAGTCAAGGTGGGAGATGACAGGGAGTGAGTTAGAAGCTTTGTGGTGTCATTGGTTAGGAAGGGGAGTATCTAGGAGATGTTATGGAGGTTGCGGCAGCAAGCTCTGGACAGTGATTGGATGTGGGACCAAAGAGATAGTTCAGAGTCCAGGATTACACCTAGAACCTTGGCATGAGGGGACGGGTTGATGGTTGAGCTGTTGATTTTGACAAAGAAATCAGGGGAAGGGGCACGTAGGGGAGGAAATATTATGAGCTTGGTTTTTAATAGATTGATTTTCAGGAAGTGGTGTGACAACTAGACTGATAAGTCTGTTAGTAGATTAGTGATGCGTGTGGAGACTGATGGAGTGAGCTGAAGGGTAGAGAACCCCAACAGAGAAAATAAGAGAAGAGGAAGTAGAATTGTAAGTGACACTAAGGGTGTGGTGGGATAGGTAGGATGAAAACTAATGAAGAGTACAGTCATAAAGACCAAAGGAGTAGAGTTTTTTGAGGAGGAGGGAGTGGTCCACTGTGTCAAAGGCAGCAGACAGGTCCAGGACAAGAAGTACAGAATAGTATCTATTGGTCTTAGCCATTAGTAAATCATTTGTAAGTTAAAGGAGAGTAGTTTCTGAGGGTGAAATTCGGACTGAAGGGGATCAAGAAGGTTATTCTCATTGAGATGGTCGCTCAGTTTGTTGTAGATCAGGTGTTCAAGGAGGTCGGAGGAAAAGAGGAGTAAGTACAGTAGATGAGTCATAGGTTGTTAAAATTGGTGGGGTCTAGTGTGAGCCTTTTATGTATGGGAGTGACTAGTGTATGTTTTAGAGAGTTGGGGAAGATGCCGAAAGAGAGGGAGAGATTGAAGATGTGAGTTAGAGAGTGTAGGATAGAGCCAGAAGGTGAACGTAGCATTTGCAATGGAACAGGGTCCAGGGGGCAGGTGCTAAGGTGAGTGTTAGAAAAAAGTTTAGCAATCTATTCTATAGCACATCTGAGATCTCCTTGCGAATTGTATCAATCTTCTTTTTTAAGTGATTGGCAATCTCCTAGGCAGTGAGTGAGTTGGTGGGTGGGCAGAGAAGAAGAGAGTTGAAGGTAGAGAAGAATTGATGGGGACTGGATGAGAAGGTGTTGACGAGAGTGATGAAGTAGGTCTGCTTGGCATTGAGGAGGAAGGAATAGTTACACAGTTAGTCTGGCTGAAAAAAAGACAAAAGTTCATCTAGAATAGAATTTCTGGAGGGAAGATTTAAATAGGTTGAAATCTTTCTGAGACTTATGCAGGCCATAGGCGGGTCGAAAATCGGCCGACTTTTCGGTCGAAAAAAAAATCGGCCAATTTTCGCACCGTTAATGGGTTAATTGGTCGGCTGTTTTTCAGGGTTTTGGCACATTTTTTATATTGGGGAAGTTGAAAAAAAATTGCCTGATTTTGCCGATCGGACGATTTTCCCGGCAATAAAGGGCAAATCGGCCGATCTTTTTACCGATAATAAATCTGCACATGAGCCATGGCCTGGAAGAAGAAGAAAAGGAAGAAAAGAAATAGAAGAAGAAAAAGAAGAAGAAAAAGAAGAATAAGAATTCCAGTCCGCTATTATATTTGACATGAAAACGTATTCGGTTGCATCAATGTATCTATTTGTATCCGAATAAAAACATCTGTATCTGAAATGGATACAAATGGATACATTGTTGCAACCTCAATACTTTTTCATGTCAAATATAATAGCGGAGCTCTCTGCAGGGACAGAAGTAATTAAATGCTAGCCGTAGATGAGACGAAAATCAGCAGATTTATTTTACCGTTGTTGGTAACGTCGGCCTATTAAACAACCAATTTTTTTTTTTTTAAATGGCCGGTTTTGGACCCGTCTATGGCCTGCATTAGTCTTCTGCCACATATGTTCAAG